CATTATTCCCCCCCCCATCCTTCATGGGAGGTTATTTGTGTGTGTGTAATTGGAACACTTTATTGCATTTTAATCGTCACACCCATTGAGTAATAGGGTGGGAAAATACTTACAAATAAAATAACCTATTAAAATCTGAGTGCGCATTAAACAAGTCAACTTTTATTCATTATGAGACAGGTATAGTTTTCCCAGCAGTGGAGAATGATATCAAGTCAAAGGGCTCTTTACTTTCAACATTAATTTAAGTCATTGTGCTAGTTTTTAAAGATCTCGTATGATTTCGGCAAGCTAATTAACCTAATTCATTCAGGATGAAAATTAAAAGTGTGATCTGAAATATAGATCTCTTCAATTAATTGCTTTGAAGGACCTTTGAAATGATCTTATTGAGGCGAATAGTCCGTTAAGTTAAACAAAAGAAACCTATTTCATCTCAGTGACCAGGGTTTAAAAAAATGCCATATTTTCACTTCTGCATAAACATAAAGTACAATGTTAAAGCAGTCATCCGTTTTAGTGAAAGAACCCTTGTTTGAAATGGCTGATTAAATATAACCCAGAGATTAATTTGATATCAAATCAAAGGCATGTTGGATGGGTTAGCAGAATATTAATGATGTGTGTATTATTAGCTTATTGCTCACTTGGTAAATTCGGCCCCGCCCCTGAGGAAGGCTTCCTACATCTACATCCCCTATAACTGTCAGAATCACCAGGTTCAAATGTTATTGCTCACTTAAATGTGTGTTAGTAGTGGTTATCAGCATCATAGATATGGGTTAGTAGGATCCCCTGACGAAGACTGGTGTGTTATCAGCACATTAAACCGCCACGTATTTGTTCTGTGACGATAGGGGAGGTCAGCTGACGTATCGGTGGTATAGCAAGCGAGTACTGCTGTGTAGGGATGTCAGTCAGGATGGTGAAAGGAACAAATGCAGGACTTACCCAGGAGACCACGGTTCATATTTCAGTGTGAAAGCAAAAGTTACTGGTGAGTCATTTTAAGTATGTGACATATGTCATGTGAAGTAGGTGACTTACATCTAGTGCTTATGTCACCTACTTGACTTGTGTGACACAAACATAATGTTTTTTCCTTAACCTAACCACATAGTTGAAACGAAAGGACCTTTTAACCCATATCTACGATGCTTATAACCACTAATGCCCGTTTATTCAAGTTATGACATTTAGAATGGGTGTCAGAAGTCATATTTATATAAAAATGAGCTTTATCATGTTCAGATATCTCCAACACAACCATCAAGACCAAGCCACATCAGGGAGACTCAAACACTAATTAATAAAAGTAGGTTTTGAGCCTGGACTTAAAGGAGTTAATGAAAGAAGCAGATCTCATTGGGAGGGGCACTGCAAAGGTTCAATCGCCCCTGAGTCTGCCAGCCGGACCTCTTAACCCCTTATTCTACCCCCAGGTCCCTCAGGTGAGCTAACCCGGGAGTAGAATAAGGGGTTAGAAGGTCTGCAGTGTAGGATGGGGCCAGACCATGTTGTTAACAAACAGGAGAACCTTAAAAACAATTCTGGACTTTACAGGCAGCCAGTGGAGCGAGGCTATTCTGTTTATATAATATGCTTGTAATATTTGCAAGAGCATCCATGATATTAGTACAGTATTTTTCTGATCACGTGCAGATTTAATGTATGGGAGTTTTGTATAGTAGCTAGCTTTGTCCACAGGAAACCCTTAAGCCCTATATGGACGGGATTAGTTTAACGTGGAGACGTGGGACTGTAAAACGGTCTGAAGAAAATACCTTGGGTAATATTAATTGCGTGAGAACGCAATCCTTGTTTCTGCGCTTGCAACTGGTTTTCCGTGTTTTTTCGATGATGGAGGCACTTGAAAAAGCATTCGGTGTTGTCAGCAGTCGTGATAGTGGACATTCTTTTAATGATCGCATAGTCCTACATGGGAGACCAATCAGAAAGGTCAAGAAGAAAGCACTTTTCAGAACCACAAGACTTCTGGATGTGTTAGGTAGGCCTAATATAAATCCATATTGCTAATCGAATTTAAGAGATTTCTTGTCCTGTGCAAATTGGACATTTATATTACAGACATCCTGTGGTAAACTGTAATTAGTCCACATCCCCGATTCTGATGTACAACATCCACTTTAATGTAGTCCAATTTGGCAATTTAGTTCTTACTTTGCCTTTAAAAGAATAATTCAAAAAGTAGATACTGTCATTTAGCACATCTATAATAATCAAAATGCTTCAAAAATTGAAATAAAAATGTGAATGTTTGTGGTAAATCCATTGTCTTTTATGATCACTTAACAACCTTAAACAATTAAACAAAAAGTCTGCCTTAAATTTTACATATTAGACATCCGAAAACGTAAAGATAAAGGACTTTCATATTAAAAGGTTTTTATAGTTGTGGTAGTTCGGGTGTATACGCTATGGGCATTTTAAACTTCTTCTTGAAACAACTAATAGATTACCAGCAGCATTAAAATAGGCCTGTAGGCAGAACAGAGGTAAACACAGTGAATTAGCTTGGCTGGCAGTACATCAAGTTTTATTTAGTAGATAATCCATTTGGTTCAGCCATTTTTTTAATTAGTAGATAATCCGGATGGATAGGCTTTTTGAAGCCACTGTCTGGTCCTTTACTGACAGGTCACCTTCTTGTTTAATTAACATTTGGCTCAGCAGTTGCAGCTTTAAGTCAAGCCAGGTTAGCTGTTGTTGTGTTGTGGTAGAAGACAGTCTATCTAACAGTAAAAGCCACACTGACAATAAGTGAACCCCCTCAACAAAATGCAAAATGTGGTAGATGGCAGAGAGATGCATGGCCCAAACCGAGACTAAAAGCCAAAAAGGTTGTCCAAAAGACAGAGAGCCGGTGAGGTACCCCTGTTTCTGCTAATGTTAGCATGAATCAACTTGATAGGCAATAGTTTGGCTCATTGCTGTGTGTTTCTCCGTCTCCTTTACCCAGTAGTGTTCAAAAATCACCTGATGCAGCTTTAATTATACCTGGGGAAAAAACCCTGCTCTTTCCATCTCAATCTTGTTACTTTTGCCTTCCCTTTCCCAGCATAGTTAATTTTAAGAGTATTCTTCACACAGGCTCCAGGCAGTGATATGAAAATTTATCAATTTGTAATGTGGCATGGTGTTGAATTCAATGCAGCAGCCAGCTAACCCCCTTTTTAAGATTAATGACTTCAGACAGGTCCAGAGCGACGAGGGAAACAATCCTGATTGTGTCAGAAAGGATATTACATTGACATATCCCACGTCTGACAGCTAATGCGCTCTGCTTTAGAAGTGACTCACGCACAGCTATGAATTTCATCTCATGGTTCTTCACATACAAATGGACTTCACAGGAACATGGATGGCATCTATAATATCCATCTACTTATAAAATGCTTATTAATACACAGGAGAAAAAAAAATCTTTATCCTCACTCCAATACTACAGACATTCTGCTGTGACTTAAGAGGTACCTTTAGGTACTTGAACTATAAAGTGGTTAGATTAAAAAGATTTCTTTTGAAATGTCTCAGCGTCTGATTTTACAAGTTCAATGACAGTATAATTATATTATTCAGAATACAGTATGCTTTAGAGAGGCGACCATAGTTAGGTTACACTTTCATTAAAAAGAATGCCTTACATTAAAGGAGAGAAATGAGAAGATAATTACCACTGGTTTGCACACTGACAGCGAACCACAGTTTGGCTCAGCTAATGATTAATGGGTAGTGATTACGAGGTTGAAATATACCATATGCTGCTAAGCTTTCTTAAACTTTGTGAGAACACTTTAAATATACAGTAATGTACCTGCTGCGTTTACCTTTTGTGCCTCTGTAGAGCTCAGTGAACCTATTGTATGTAAGTAAATGGCATTTGGAGAAGTATAGGTTTGCAGACTGAAATTTCGTATAGACGTTGAGGTGTGACGTGAATATTTTTCTTGCTGTGTGGTTTGCTATTAGAATCTAAGTAAAGGAAATATCCATGAACAATCCATACATGTGTGAGGCTAATCCAAAGGTAGCAGTGCAGTAAAGCAAGCCCACTGTGAGCTCCCTCTGGTCAACACAGCAGTTCTGCTTCTATGTTAAGAAAATGTTTGATGTACTTCGCTATAGCAGGGCCCTCTTTTCTTCAAAGACACAAAGCAACAGTGAGCCTCCTCTAAAGAGATGGCAGGGAAATGCATCTTGACTTTGTGGCTGACCACACTGTGCCCCGTTGCCCACGCAATTTGTTCTAGTCAGTGACTTTGTTCTGCCCCGCATTGGTTAACATAGACTCCCGGAGCCCTCCCCAGAGCGTTTTGGGGAGAGTGAGAGCTACTGAGCGCTACCAACCGATTCCAGATGGCTTCCACAATGTAGGGCTCAGAGGATGAGCGCTGAAAAGAAGATTGATTTCCTTTGTGAAGTATGACAAGCCATGCACTAGAGCGCAGCTCTCCAGACACACAAAAGAGGCTCAAAAAACATATTTCTACTTTTTTATTTTTTCATTTCAATCAGCTTTGCAGTAAAACTACAGGCTGGAGCGTTCTGAGGGTTTGCCTGTGGTCTCCCAAGGGACAAGATGTGTGTATTCATGACTTTGCTGCTGTTTTGTTGGGGGTTTTTTTTTGTTGTTGTTGTTCCACTTTTATACCTCCTCCATCAAAACTTATCTGGTGAACCGTTTGTTCTTTCTCTCCTCTCTGTTTGTATATCATTTAAACTGTTTAGGATCCCAGCTTCATTTTGAGCCAATGACGATACAATCAAATATGTCTTTGACGTGACTTTTTTTACCACCCAAAATCACAACAACTGGAGATTCTGTTTATTAATTATAAAAAATTAAATATTAAAGTATGGCGATCCATCAGACCAACCAACCAACCACATGGCGTCGATTTAGAGGCCTGAAACATTTCATCTGCAATTATCAGCGTCGTCACTTTTAACTTTCCTTAACTTTGCTTCACTCTTTGCAGACCTTGCTCCGGGATGGCAGGAGAGAGAGCACCGTGAGCACGCTCTACCTATCGCCTTCCAACATCGAGACGGGTCAGCAGATCATCTGCAAGGCCTCCAACAAGGCCATCCCCAATGGCAAGGAGACCAGTGTCACAATCGACATCCAACGTAAGCGTACCACTTCTCCCTTTCCGTCTCCCTTTTTATTGCTTTCACTGTCTCCCCCTTCACTTTCACGCTTTCTTGTTTAAGTTATTGTTTTTTGAAGTCCCTTGGTTAGCGATCAGTGCAGATGGGGGGAAAAACTCTTTGTGTGACATGCATTGCTCAGTATTTGAGGTATTTCTCACATGTAGAGGCGTGAAACTGTCTGACAGGCATACGTGACTAACACACTGTAAACATCTAGGATTCATTTTAGGCTCTGATGGATATTTATAATTGGTTTCCATTTTGCTTTCATACCATGTAGGTGGGTGGATGGATTGATGATGCATCACTTTTTCTTTTTTCTTTCGTTTTTTTTTTTTTTTTTTATGAAATATCAAAAGGAGCTGTCCATCTGAAATGAATGGGACTGTCGTTTTTGGTCCAGCTACCTGCCTGCTGTGGCGCTATGCACACTGTCTCCACCTCTTTTATTTCCTTGCTCATGCCATCAATCTTTTCGATGAGAGCATGCACAATTCCCCTCTAAAATAGGCAAAGTAAGCCCAGCGTGTAAAACACATTCAGCCTCAATTGTCAGGGAATCTTTTTTCGATCAAGAACCGTTCACAGTAAGAGAGGGGCTTTGAACAAAGGGATTTTGCATCACTCACGGCCCCTTCAACACCATTAAGTATGACTAATAAAGCAGAAAATGCTATTTAGAGAGGCAATATGACTGACGGCTCCATTCTTTTCATTATGTGCACCACAAGAGGCAAGCATGGCAAGAGCGGGCACGGTACGATCAGGCCAACTCAGGCGCGGGAGTAAAAATGATTAACAGTTGTTAGTGTTTGCAACCCTTGCAGTTTGTCCTCGTCATTCTTTTTTTGTCATGCAGTCAGAGAGGGAAGTCTGCCCACATGTAAACTGATTTGTCACCATGTATAATGATGTGTCTGTGATAAATGCTCGGCATCATAGCATCATCCTCGCTTCTGAATGTATGATTTAACCCTGAAAAATGAGTGCAGCAGATTTCTAATTAGCATTCCAAAATGTGCTCTTTACACAATTAAAGCTCCCGACAACATTTTTCACAGTGTGAGATCAAACTGAGCGACAGCAGAGACTAATTGTCGAGATTCAAAAAGTCTCCCACAAGGCTTAGCCTCTTGTTTCCCTCCCTCCTTCTCACTCCCCCACCCACTTCCTCAGACTTGACAGGTAAAGTGTTCAGCACAGTTCAGCAGAGCCTCCGGAGTTTGTGCGAAGAACCACTTTCAAATTAAGCTTCTCCTGAAATGAAACGAGCTGTAATTGAACTTTGATTCATTCGTGTTGGGCATCAATTTGCTTAATTTCAGTGCTGCCTAATTCGATTACAAGGTTCTTGGCTCAACAAAAGAATCTGAAATACTTCATGGGTTTTTTTTTTAACAAAAGTAAAACAAAATACAAATTATAGTGTAGATGTAAACCATATCTTGACAACACAGATTTATTTAAGTATTCTGCAGCCAGTGGTGGAAGAAGAAGTCCTCAGATCTTTTACTTAAAGGAGAGGTCTGGTATTTTGCACTTTGAGCCCCATGTCTGGGTTGTTTATGATGAAATAAAGTGATTAAGACCAAAATAGTGATGATTGCTCATTTTCAGAGAATTTGGCTTTCCCCTGCCTGGCTTAACACTGCTGCCTATGGCCATGTGTGAACCTGTCCTATAACCACCCTAAACATTTGTTTTCAAAGCCATGAAACTCACCGAGTGATCAGTGGTGTTCGCTGATGTTCTGACATAAAAATCGTAGCAAACTCATCTCAATTGTGGAACTATTTTTCAGCTGCCTCACACCGGTGTGTAAACTTCCGCTTGATCGTTCCTTTGACCCTGAAGCGTTATACACTCTAGCCCACTAGATGGCGATAATGCTCCTTTACGTGGGTGTTGCCAACCAGCAGGAAACCATTGCAATGTAATGGGACACAGAGAAGAAGCAGAAGAAGAAGGTTGCCGTTGTGTTCAAAGGCATTGTACTGCGACGGATGTTTACAAGCGAGTAATCCATTGTGCAGTTGTTTAAACTTATTACAAAACTTTTTCATTCATTCTCGTTCTTCCTCCAGGAGCGCACACAGCACTGTCGAGCCGGCACTTTCGCTGAGCTAAAAGACTACAATGACTACAACCTTGTCGTAAACAACCCCCTTTCTGTTTCCGGTGGTGGATTACTACCAACGCACAATGAGGCTTCCCATAGAAAACCAATGGATTAGACAAAATGTCAAATAAATCATCACAGAAACCACAGTTTGCTACAATTTTTATGTCAGAACATCAACAAACACCACTGACCACTCGGTGAGTTTCATGGCTTTGAAAACAAATGTTTAGGGTGGTTTTAGGACAGGTTCACACATGGCCATAGGCAGCAGTGTTAAGCCAGGCAGGGGAAAGCCAAATTCTCCAAAAATGAGCAATCATCACTATTTTGGTCTGAGCCACTCTATTTCATCATAAACAACCCAGAAATGGGGCTCAAAGTGCAAAATACTGGACTCCTCCTTTAAGTAAAAGCAGTAATACCACAGTCTTAAAATACTCAGTTACAAGCAAAAGCCCTGCATTCAAACTCCTACTTGTGTAAAAGTTTAAAAGTATTGGCATCAAAATATACTCAAAATAAAAAGCAGAACTACTTAATATGCGGAACAGCCCTTTTCAGAATAATACACATTAGAATATTGGATTATAGTCTGAAGATATATTGATATAGTCTGACTGATGCATTAATGTGTTCATCACTTTAATGTTGCAGCTGGTAAGAGGGGAGCTCAATTACAATTAATCTGTAATAACTCATCCTCATTTATTACTTGATTTACATTTTGTATTAATAATCTGAATCTGTGAAGTAACTAATGTTGTCAAGTAAATGTAGTGGAGTAAAGTGTACTATATTTCCCTCTGAGATGTAGAACAGAAGTATAAAGTAGCACAATATGGACACATGTAAGTCAAAGTACCTCAAAATTGTTCTCAAGCACAATACTTGAGTAAATGTACTTAGTTACATTCCACCACTGCATGCAGCTGACACACATGCCTACTGTAACAACATGAGCTTATGCATTCAGCTCTCGGTTGCATTTTATAAATTGTGTCTTGTAAAGGTTTACAGAGTTGAGCTAATATTGTGAGGAAGTGGTATTGTGGGGTTGACCTCCTTCTTTTGACACCACATGGGTCTGGATAGGTCTGGCCTGTGCGACTGCTCCTCTGCAGAGGGCAGTGCAGCAGGACAACCGAGTGGTAAATATTAATGGGGAGCTGCTGTTGTCACACTGAGAAGGCAGAGCCCAAAAGCCTTGTCCTAATTCAATGGCTGGATCCCCCAAAGGATGCAGCAAACAGGGGTGAGTCCTTAAAGGATCTGAGAGCCAGTCTGAACCAAATCAGACGGGCTAGATAATTCAATAATGTCCTCAGAATTTTGTACAACATGGGCATATTTGGAAAAGATATTTTTGAAAGGGATGAGGCTTTGTCTGCCTGTACCGACACATTTGGTCTAGAAATGCAGACTTTGGAGGATCCAGAGTCCCAAATGGGACACAGTCAGCTGTGAGCAAGGATTAGTCTAGACACAGCACAGACTCACATACTCTCAAATGAGCGAACACCTGCACAGGACAACACACAGCACAGGGGAGACAGATGAGAGAAACGACTGGGCGCATGCACAAATCAAACACACAGCAGAATATGCTTTCCTCAAATCTTCCCCCAACCAAATATTCCCTTGCCCTGATAACTCTGCAGCCAAAAACACTGATATAAAGATCCTTTTGTACTTGCAAATGTTCACGGCTTTCTTGGAAGACTTGATTTTCATATTTTCATTATTCAGTTATCTAGTTTAGAAAAACAACGCAACTTCATTATCCAAACACCAAAAACCTTGACCCGGTATTGTCATAGCTGTCAACAAAATACATTCCTCCAAAAACTAATTATCAGAATCTGTGGCAACATTACTGGTGCCAACTACTCAAAAAGGGAACGTGTTCATCTATTTGTTCCTCATGCGCTGGTGATAATAATAGAATAAGAAGCGAAGACAAGTCTTCATATTGTACAGACTCAGAGACCACTGCCAGGCAGGAGAAAGGGTCCAAACAGGGGAGCATGTGTTACTTTTTTGGAGCAACAGGAAACAGAACTCTATTTCTTCTGCCCACTATACTATTCTCTCAGTGAGCCTTTCTCAAAGGAGGTGAAAACCATCACCCTACCTATCAAGGCAACGGTTCCTCCAGGCTCTCCATGTCAGCTTGTGAAATAAATGTAACACTTGACCATCTCTTCTTTAGAATTGTACCCGGTGTTCCCTCTGTTCTACAACAAGAAGCAGTCACCAGTCAGGATTTAACAGTACTGCTTCATAATTGTCGGCGGTGTGAAATGCCTTTAGAAAGGTTACCAGGTAGCAGGGCCAGCACTGATATAGAATATGTTCAGCATAAAATGGTCCTTGTCAAGTTGTATATCATCTAACATTACCAGGTTTACATGGGGCTGTCACAATGACCAGGTTGTTGTTTTGCAAGTCACGTAAGTCAAGTAAGTCTCAAGTCGCTGCACTCAAGTCCTAAGTCAAATCCCAAGTCCTAAACTTTGCTCTTTATCAAATGTAATGCCATTTTAGCAGTTGAAATATACTGAATTTCCAAGTCATCATGGTTTATTATGATTATTGTTTGGTTTGTTTTAATTTATTTATTTATTTATTTATTTGCAGTCATCTGTCAAAACAAGTTTGGTTGTTTGAAGGCTTTTTTTTATTTTTTATTTTTTATTTTTTTTGACCACCACATAATTTTTGTACTCAAACAACATTATTAATTGTTTAATTCTTTCCAAATATTAAGTAAGGTATTGTTAGCGCTTCATGGTTTTGTCCTCCGACACAACTGTGTTGACTTTCTGGGCATGAATAACGTTAACATTAGTTGATT